GACCACGTTCAGGACGCAGTCACTTATCATAGACTGAAGGATCACCCCAGTGGGCCCGATTAAAAATGTGTGTTGTTCGGCTCAAAATGTGATTTCACAAACAAAATGTGTTCCACAAAAATCGAAGACCTTATTCCAGCTGTTGTAACATGGAGCCTAATATTGGGAGTTACGGGAATGTACTTCGTGTTCACGTATGTTACCTATTGCCCTTATTTTCGCAGTTGCTATCCCTTCTCTGCGTCATATTCATGGGCCATACTAGCCGTGCACATAATTCTTGCAATATACGTGCTTTGCTGTCTGACCCGGACCACTTTCATGGACCCTGGATTTTTTCCATTTGGTAATAGTGCACTTCATCTCTAATCTGTGCTGCAGCCACAGAAGAGGAGGCAGATTATGAAGAATCACGATCCGCTCCTGTCAACAGAGAATACAATGTTAATGGTGTAGTTACAAGAGTGAAGTGGTGTAATACCTGCTTGTTTTATCGTCCGCCCCGTTGTTCACATTGTGCAATATGCAATCGCTGTGTTGACGTATGTTTCAATATCTTTATTTAATGTACCAATCTTTGTAGTGCTTCGACCATCATTGTCCGTGGGTCAATAACTGCGTCGGGAGACGCAATTATCGCTATTTCTTCATGTTTTTGCTCTCTTTAACACTTCACATCATCGTAGTTTTTGTAATCACGTTGCTTCATTTACTACAAAGTCAGGAGCCGATTGGACACTACGTCAATATCATATGGTATCCTTTTGGTTACTTTGTTTTCTTCATAAAGTTACTTCATCATTTTGTAGGGTTTTGCTGGTAATCTGTCGAAGTTGCTTCGTATCTTATCATTACGCTTAAAATCAAAGGTTTTCAAGGATTACGATTGAGAAAACGTTTAGTTTTTCATTTTCAACACACTTCTCATCACCACAGATAAATAACTAACCATAGTATTCAACAAATAAACAAAACATTGACCGTCATCTAGGTCCCAAAACCACTGCACCACTCACCAAACTTGATTTTCTCATCATGTGAAGCTCAGCTCAGTGCTAGGCCCTTGACTGCATTTTGGTTAGGTCACCGAAAAAGATTAAAAAGAGTGAAATATAGAAAGGAACCTGATCACTCTTGTGATGGCATTGATACTATTCCTCTGACTGACAGCTTTGTCCAATGTTTTTTATTGCACACGATAAATAACTCAGGAGGCTCATTCAAACGGATTTAAACCGGAGAGCTAAGCCCCGTTATTTGTGAACTACATAAGGCCTCAGCCTGATAGGTGTGAGGAACAGAGAGACGGTCTCACAAGTCCCACGATGTATAAGCAATATCTTTTCGGAAAGATCAGACAGACAAAGGTTGTTTTATTGAGGTCAGTTCAGAGCTTCTACTTACCCATAAACTTACCCACCATTCGGCGATCGGTGTCAGCAGCCTAGTTCACATGCTTAGTAGCCATCATGGTGTTTTATACGCCATTCATGCCTGGCTCACGAATGAAGCTTCAAGCCGTAAGCTTCCGAAAACCATATTGGTTTTCACAACACCCACATAGTGTATGTGGCTTATGACCAGTGTCACGTGATCAGCACAGGATCGATCACCTATGATACTGTTCAGTTTCGTCCTAGATGAAATACTGGAGAACGCACTTACTGGTCTCCAGAACGTAGGTATTGAATGGGCAGCTGGAGAAAAGCTGTGCGATTTAGAGTACGCTGATGACATTGTATGCCTGTTCAAATCTATGGAGGATGCG